TTCATCCTCCATTAGTTCATCAGCTTTAGTTTGGATAAATTTCTGTAGCTTTACAGCATCTCTATATATCCTGGAGTCTGGTCGGTTATACTGCTGAGCATTGTCGAACATCAAGTTGAAATCATCAACCATATCAGAAATAAAACGATATTCTCCCTTCTGTCAAAATAAAATACAGGAAAAAAGTTATCACTTCATTATGCAACTACTTTGCATTTCCAACATATCTACTAGGTTATATACAGTTATAAAGTTATTAAAATTTAACATACCACAATTTTCTTCCTGATCTGAGAGAGAGAAATAGGATTCTTGATCTCAACATAATAATCTGCATGCCATCTTCTGTTTGGAAGACGTTTGAATGGCTCCACCAGCTGATAGTTTGGGTCTGAGAAAACAAACATTTATAACATAGTTAATTTGTTCCCCATCCAAATCATTTAGCACCTACAAGTATATAAATAGATACAGGTGACTACAATAATAGCACAATAAGTATTTGAACAGTTACTTAGGTGGCATGATAACAGTGGTGGAAAACTTTTCAGTAACAGGATATTCTGTTTGGTAGTTACAAACATACAATAAAACCAATCTGAATGAAACAATAAACAATAAAAAGGGAAGTGCCTGGTCTCTCATTTAATCTGTAAGAGTAGACAATTAGCAAGCAAAGTGTATGAAAAAATAATGAAGAATTTCAAAACTTCGAAGGCCTTTAACACAGAAGTTTTTTTTATGTTTGGGACCTCCTAGAACTTACAATTTTGTCATATCTCTAAAAGTTTCTTTATCTCTTTATAGAAGGAACTTCAAAATGCACTAAGCACTACATATTATATCTTGAAATGTCAAAATCATTCATCATTAACAAATTTTCTTCAGCATTTTTTCACACTACATTCAATAATTCTTAAACTAAATTGAATTTACAAAATAGAAAGCATAGTTTTCTTTACTTGATCTCGATAAATAATGCACAGGGCGGTAATAAGTTCATATCACACAAAATATATGCCATAAAGGTCTCAGTAAAATCATGATAACAAACAAATAATATCTGAAAGACAGAAAAAGAAAAGAAAAATGTGTGGTAGCTATGCCCTTCTGCCAAAGTTTAAATAATACACTAAAGGATGATGATTACATGTTATCCTTTACAAGTGAAAAGCATGACTGCATTACTACTGTTGAACATATCAAGGATGAGTTATTACTCATTACCTCATGGGGCTGATTATGACAGGTTACACCTGCACCAGATAAAACACAGGTCATGTTTATATGCCTTCAACAGAATCCTACCAATATGCACTAATGGGAAAACTCTCAATCTGACCCGAGCAATAAACATCCTTGGAGTGCAGTTTTATAGTCAACTGACATTCATTGGTCACATAAATTAATCAATCCATCTTTCCATTCCTTTTTGGAAACTTCCTAGAGTCCTCTCTATCATCTTGGTCTCTGGACATGTTTCAGACCCATATGTCATGACTGGGAGAATGCTTTGGTTTAAGACTTCTTTTTAGACATTATAGCAAAGAACCTTTTAATATGCTACTGTATCTACCACACTCTACTGTTGAATAAGACTGTCTTTTCTTGTTCATCTGAAGTCCAAATTTCTGATATTTTCTATTCAGATCTTCTAATAATTGTTACAGCTCATTTGTTAATTCATCAAAGAGAGAAAAATGGTCTAAGAATCTAAGACTGGTTACATACTCATTCTCTATTTTGATACCCTTTCCACTCCATTCTAGATCCTAGAATATTATCTCAAGGAAAGCTGTAATAGTTTGTTTTGAAAGTGTAGCCCAGTTTAACACAAATTTGAATTATGATTTTATCAGTTTCTGAAATAGCTTCCAAGCTGATGACTCATCTTCATATATATCTTCATATCTACTAAAATAATATTATACTCTGATTCTTTTTAAACAGCTTTTAATAACACTGTTTATAGTACAGGATCAAATGCACAAATTTGGGTGCTAAGTAAACAAAAAAACTGATATGAAACTGGGTGCTTGGCCACAGGACAAGAAAATTCATCCGATAGGTAGGCAGCCGATCCCATTGAGTTGACAGATACCACTATTTCGCCAATTCTCGAAAATGCAAAGTGAAGACAATTGCTGACTTCCGCGCCATCCGCCACCGCTAGCAGAATATTATATACATATATGCCTCTATAAATATATATATATATATATATATATATATATATATAATTTATATCATATACATAATATATATATATATATATATATATATAATATAATACATATATATATATATATATATATATATATATATATATATATATATATAT